AAAAAAAAAAAAAGCCGGAAGTGGTGCTGTGACTCAAGTGGTAGAGCGCTACACTTGAGCTGAAGAACTGAAGGACAGCGCCCCAGGCCCAGAGTTCAGGCCCCACAACTGGACCACCTCCCCAAAAACAAAACAAAACAAAAAGCCAGGAGCAGAAGTGGTTTAGTGGTAGAGTGCTTGCCTAGCATGTATGAAGTTCTGGGTTTGCTTGCTCAGCACCACAAAAACAGAAAAAGCTGGAAGTGGCGCTGTGGCTCAAGTGGTAGAGTGCTAGCCTTGAGCAAAAGCAGCTCAGGGACAGTGCCCAGGCCTGAATTTAAGCCCCAGGGCCAGGACTGGCCAAAAAAAAAAAAAAAGCTAAGCAAAAGCTTAGCCAGTGCTAGTTAGGGCCTAGTACCAGTGTAGGTGTGTGTGCACACCCCCCCCAAAAAAAAAGGCAAAAGGGGCTGGAGGGGTGGCTCAAATGGTAGTGTGCCTTCAGAGCAAGCGCAAGGTCCCAAGTACAACCCACTACCACAAAATAAACAAGCATCCACCACCACAACAACAAAACAGAAATTCAGAATACTTTCAAATCTAGGTAAGTTGGAGTACTCATTGTAATACTGAAGAGTAAATAAAACCAAGCCCTAAGCCAGCTGCCAGTGACTCCTATCTGTAACCCTTGCTACTCAGGAGACGGAGATCTGGAGAACCGGTGGTTTGAAGCCAGCAAAGGCAGAAGTCTTTGAGAGTTCATCTCCAATTAACCAGCAAAATGCCAGGCTGGAGACATGGCTTCAATAGTGAAGTACAAGTGGAGCAAGCAAGCCAAGTGAGGAGCACGAGGTCCTGAGTTCAACACCCAATAGTGGAGGGGGTGGGGGGAACCCAAGCCCTCAGCCAGCTTTTAAACATTCCCTCCTAAATGAAGTACAGGAGACTCTGGGAGCCCCTTCCCACTGGGGAGGGCAGCGTCAAGTCGCCAGGGGTTTGCCTCTGTGAGCCAAGGCTCATCTACTTAGGAAGTTCCTTGGCTGGCAAGGCGAGTGCTGTGATCAGATGCCACTGCACTACCACGCAGAGTGGGGCCTCGGAGCGGCTACTAGGGAGAGGTCAGCTATGAAGAATCCCAACCATTGCTGTTCACCCCATGACACGTGGTGGCTGCCCTACGCCACTTCCTCTCTGTGCGATCCTTAGGTGTTCACATGGGAGACAGTGTGAATTCATGGAGGATGTCAGTCGCACTCAAGAAGTCGGATTTCCAGAAAACTTCTCAACACGCAACAGATGATGGAAACATACAGCCTGGTAGAGACTGCCCTCCCTTTTAATCAGTTTCACAGAATGACAGTACAGTAATTGCGTGGGAGGCAGGCCCACTCCTCCTGCTCACATACACGACTGCAGGCTCATGAGTGGACCTGTACAGAGGGCGGTCAGTTGGAGGGGCAATACAAAGCTTTGTAGTACAGGTGACACATGGATACGGTAGACAGGACAGACTGGCACCTTGGCAGAGATGAAGGCCCCCATCTCAGACTGCTGAACTCCGCTTCGGGGACTCCATGGTTAGCCCCAGCTTCCCCGGGCATCTGGCTCTATTGTATTTCTTCCAAGTGTTCTCACCGGTAACAAAGCTATTCCCGGTCACCCTACATCCTTAACATAGAGAAACTACCCATTTGGCAATGCTGTCAAACATCTTGGCAAATAGCATTGTTGTTCACTTTCTAAAAATACTTTGAGCATCAAAAAAGCCTGTATCTACCCCTCCTCCCAATGACAGCAATTGCTTAAAGAATCAACTCACTAGACTTCAAAAAACTGTGAGGGAAAACACACAGACGTCAAATGAAGAGGCAGCAGTGTGGGCTGTGGCCCTGAGTACACAAATCACTACATTTCTATCACAGTTACAAAATCCACTAAGAACTTCCCCTCTTCTCACCATTAAATCTCACACATTTAAAACACCTCGCTGACCTACCTATCTATGCTTGGCCCAAACAGCAATTGCTCTGACAGAAGAGAGAACCTCTGTTCTACCTGCTGCTCCAGGCTCTCAGGCAAGAACTCGCGCCAGCTCTTTACTGTTCAGGGGCTAGGATTTTGTTCTTTGTGTGTATGTACTTTAAGAATATATATATTTCTAAAGTCCACTTGAGATAAAGGCTTTCAGGATACAAGAGGAAAATAAAAACCACATATCATTCATTTCTATTTTCAATCCCCTGGAGGTCCTGATTCCCTACTACCGCTGTATATCTGTGTCTAAAGACGTTCATACACAGGTTTTTACAGAGAAAAAGCAAAAGAAAGTGATGAGTAAGGCCAAAGTATTAACCAAAATGGAGAGAGAAAACAAAATATTTACCAGGTGTTTATTCCCCAACCTCCCCCCACTTTTTCACAAGGACCATCTTCAGCTTGTATTCCTATTCCTTCCAGAAGCAGAATACTATCAGCAAATATAAACTCATCTTTCTCTTCCTTTAAGAGACGTTCATTCTATAAGACTTCAGTGAGCTGAGCCACTGTCTCCCCACTAACCATTCTGTCAGTTCTGAAATAACTGGTGTAATGTTTACCAAGGGTGAAATTGTGCTTTTGCACTAATCCTTCCTATAGAAAAGGAAGGAAGGAAACATAGTATGAACTACTCAAACATCTACTTCTTGCATACTCCTACAACTATAGATGACTAAATCCTAAACTGAAAAATCAACCCTACAAGAAGTTCCACCATGAAACCAAACTGATGATGGTTACTGCTGATAACCCCTAGCTCTGGACAGGGTTTTCAGAGGGAAATCCTGGAACAGCTGGCTGGCCTAGAACAGCACTGTGCTCCTCTGCTGGCTTGAGTACAGAGGTGTACAATGCTGATCTCCATCTCACCACCAGCGTGAGCACTGTAGAGGCCACTTCCTGCCTCCAGTGCAGTCGTATACCACACACAAAGAGCGCTGGTGCAATGTCCACATCTTCATATTTATTTCCACAATGATAACATGGGGTATATTTAGTTACCATTGCAAAGGGGGAAAAAACAATCTCATTGATTTATGAGTTAAATCCCGTAACAATGAATTCCAAGTATTCCAAGACTTCTGTTGATTAAGATTTATTGAATCAAAGGCTGAAGAAAATGGACTCCTATCTAGGTTCCAGAAGACGTGTTACATAGTCTTTGTGTACTTATGATGGCATATGACTTCTAATACCCTGGCAGGGTGACAGTGATGGCCCATGAAGCTCATGACTATGGGTTTCTCCATCAGACATTCAAAAGGACATTTTGCAGTACTAGTTTTGACTCTGATCTCTCCTTAGAAGGCAGAAACCCCATCCCACACTCCTATAAAAATGACCATTTTGGTACTTTAAAATAAATGAATTAGAAGAGGTGGAGGCATGAAGAATACTCAGCTTCTTTTGGCATTATGAAACAGATCTTGGACAGCAGCAGCCTGTGTCCATCTACTCAAAATTGGTGCTCAAAGGTCTCTTTAAAGATGCCTGGAAATGCTGCCAACAACAAGACTCAAAATTACGGGGCTACAGCATTTGTCATAAAAGAAGCTGACACTTGGGAAGTGGTCAGCGACAGCCTATGTACCAGGTGTGTGCTTGAAGCTCTGGTGTGTCTCCTTGGCCAGCTGCTCGGCACCAAAGGCTAGTCCTGATTAATTAATTACTGGTGTGCAATGCAAACCAATAGTGAAACACAGAAGAGGGAAAAAAAAGGCACAGAAACCTGCCAAAATAGATTTCTTTCCATAAGAATAGGATGGTTGATTAAAATAGTTTATCACTAGTAAAACTTGTAACACTAGAGCAGACAATACAAATTAGTTGTGTGTTTTTTTTAAAAAAATGACATTCACTGAATTTCTGATCTGTGCATTCAATGTGAATAATCATTAAAGTTATCGAACAGTTAAAGGGTTGCAAGGAGCTCTGTTTGGGGTTTCTAGGGAACACTTAGCATCCAGAGAAGAAGTACCACAGCGCAGGCAGAGGCAACTGCTTGTTCCTATGGAGTGTGTGAGGACTGAAGTCTGCTCCTATGCAGGATTCCGCACGTCCATGGCGAGGCCGGCCTAGGCACCACACTCCTTGGCAGACACCATGACTACAGACTTCAATAAACTGATTCACACTTTCATAAATACTCCTGTGTGTTTTCTGCTTTTAAGCTCAGCTTAAATTTTGTCAAGGAAACCATTTCACAAGAGGGTATGTCACAACCTACTATCAGCAATATTCCTTGTTTATTAGAATCTGAAGATGTCCATATTACATCAAATATAAATATATATTATATTTACATTTCCTTCTTAGCTTCTCAACTTAGAGGTGAGTGTATTTATAGATAATGCCACAAATACCACTGTTCTAATCCTCAGTGCAGATGGTATCTTCCTTCCATTTGATGCATATTAAAAGAGGTGTACTATTCTTTTTGAAAATAAAAGAATGGGATATCCATATGGAGATCTAGAAATTTCCTAAGAGAGTCTGGTCTGTTCTTCAATGTTGGTCCCCTTCTGAGTAATATCCTCTATGTGGGACAAGGGGATACAGTATGCATTATCACAAAGGAGAAGAGCCCAAAGAAAAAAGAGCCTGCTTGTTAGCACATTAATCTGTTTAGTAAAGATCTGTTTTAAAATGTCTGAATGCTGTACAATATTATACAAAAACAATCTTCAGCCTTCAAAGCAGCGGCTACATGTTCTTAGGGGATTGTTTGCCAGACTAACAATTGGCTGTGGTGGTGGGTTTGGGTCTTGGTCACTTCCGGTCATCAATGGTTTTAATGAATTCCACAGCTGCTGTGAACTGCATCCACCAGTAGGACTCCTCCCCAGACAGACAGTTGGCGTAGAAGCTACTGATATACTGCACGGTGGACAGCAGACAGGGTGGGTTTGCCTAGAGAAGTAAATAAAGAGCCAATCGCACAAGTGCTGTGCCCAAATCATTTAAGTACCTGTTCTTTCATGAACAAAAAAGCCCACACATCCTTTTGACAATAATCCCCAAACTACCTTTTGGAAGTAATTAGTAAACAATACTACCAGCAGTAACAGTATATTGGGAAGGTAGACTGGTTCTAATCCTAGCTATTCTACCTACAGCTTTCTATTCGGTTAAGACACTAATCTTTCTGATCCCTATGGAAGCTGGGCTAATTCCTAGGGTCTTAATATCATAAGATTCCCAAAAGTTAGGCAAGCAAATAAATGCTGCAGACAAGCTGGGTTATAACTGGTAAATGTGGGTAGACCTAGCTGAGAAAGAAACACTTTAAAAAGGTAATGCATCCTCTATAGCAAGAGGGAACACAAAACATCTCCTGTTTCTTCTTTTTCTAATGTGGAGACAAAAGACATAGGTTGCTAAATGGTTGGGAGAACAAGTCAAAGCCCTTGCCTTAAGATGAGCTTCACCTAGCTCTGCAGCAGGACCAGACCTATTACATGTCTTTCTATAGCAAGGAAGACAAACTGACAGCCAAAGTGCTAAGATTCGACCTCCACGCCAAGTTCCAGTGGTAGAAATATCAGCAACACTAAGAACTAGTGTGACACATGTCAAGCACACTGCAGCCAGCAACAGGGCAGGTGTGTGTGTCTCACACAAGCAAGTAATGCGAATGTCCTCACTGAGCCTTAGTGTGCACTCCAACTCCATGGCCACTCATAAATCTTCAAAGAAAACTGAAAAAACTTTCATTTTAGAGTCAAAGGAAAAGACAGGGTTGGGAATGTGGCTTAGTGGCAGAGTGCTTGAATAGCATGCATGAAGCTCTGGGTTCGATTCCTTAGTACAACATACCCAGAAAAGTTCAGATGTGGCTCTGTGGCTCAAGTGGTAGAGTGCTAGCCTTGAGCAAAAAGATCTCAGAGACAGCACCCAGATCTTGAGTTCAAGTCCTAGGACCAGCACCATAAATGAATGAATGAATGATAATTATGTGTGATTACAAAGAAGTCAGATGAAGGGAGAGGTGAGTGCTGACCTGCTGGTCTGTCCAGCAAGCACTAAAGAGGTCTGTGAAAGGTGGGGCACGGTCCAGCACAGAGCCTGCCCTCTTCTCTTCTCACACACGCTAAGTCCTGCCGAGGACAGAGGCAAAAAACAAAAAGCAAAAACAGGGGCTTTAAAAGGCAAAAAACAGGGGCTGGGAATGTAGTAGTAGAGTGTTTGCCTAGCATGCATGAAGCCCTGGGTTCCATTCTTCAGTACCACAAAAATAAAAAGTAATAATAAAATTATATTTAAAATAAATAAGTAAAAGCAGGAAACAGTCATCTAAAAAGGCCTCACATCCTTTCTTTCATAAACCCTAACTTTGTGATCAGAACACACCTTGCTATTAGACATCTTTCTTGGTTACAGAAAGGAGCCCAAGACTCTAAACCCATGTGAAGCTCTGTGCCAGCCTGCTCAGGATGCCACACTTTTCGACTGACACTGGTAGAGGCCCCACCTTTATGAGAACGAACACCAACACGGGGACAAAGTCATCTGCCCCGGGCACGGAGTCCTCGTTGGCCAGGCTCAAGAGGTTCATGATGGTGGAGCACATTCTCAGGATGCACTGCACTTTGTCCCGGGGGGTTTTGTATGCACTTATTGTCCTGATTTCTGACTGTGCAGATGGCCACGGTGCCTCCCGAAGATACACCTAAATGAGACAACAGAAGATATGCATCATGAATCCAACAGCAACATGCGCAGCAATCCTGGCTACCGCCCAGTCAGGAGGTAGTGGCTTTTCCCTTTCTTCAGAAAAACTGCACTGCATTTTCTTCCCCTTCCACCGAACATTAAATCCCATTTCAACTTTACATAATTTGTTTTGCATTTAAAAATAGTACAAAGCTGGGCGCCGGTGGCTCATGCCTGTAATCCTAGCTACTAAGTATACAAGGTCCACTCCTGGATAGCGAGCAGACCCCACCCAGTACCTGTGTTACCTAGGCAACTGGCACACCTGGAAGAGATCACATCTGCATCCGATGAGGTCACATCTGGATCTGATGTGGCCATACCTTTCTCTCACCTGGTCCCACCTCCCTTTACCTGGCCACACTTTACCCCGCCCCTACCCTAGATAAGGCTTAGCCCAAGGCCAGACGCACTCTTTGCCAGCCTTGGGGAGAGCCAACCTGGCCTGGTCCCAGCAGGTCTACTGAATAAACTTATCCCTTATCTGAATACCATGTGCGTGGTGTGGTTCTTACTCAGCAACCTCTTTTTAACACCTAACACTAAGCAGGCTGAGATCTGAGGATCGCTGTTCAAAGCCAGCCCGGGCAGGAAAGACCATGAGACTCCTATCTCCAATAAACCACCAGAAAACCGGAAGTGGCGCTGTAGCTCAAGTGGTAGAGTGCT